TGATCACCTGAGGCAAGGACTAGGTCAGCTGTGGGAGCACAGGTGAAGGAAATTCACCTGTGTGACCAGAAGGGGTGGAGCCTGGCTCCACCTCTCCTAGACCCTATTTAAGGGCTGACTGCTCCTAGGTAAGGATCTCTTTCTGGAGATCTCTCCTTTTTGCAGTTTTCAACTGTGAGTCTAGGATACAGGTGAGTATTTAATTTTTGATTGTCTCTTTCTATCACAGGGAACTTTCTAGCTAGAAACCTGTAAAATGCTATTCTAACCACACTACTCTTCTAACTATACATTTGTTAATTGTACACAGTTTTATATTATTCATCCATAGCTTTTAAATCAAAGTATCATTTTTGGCATTGGCCATATTTTAGGAGGTCACATTACTTTGTCTATAGTATGCCTTTTCAAATAATGGTGAGAGTAATACCAGGCTTCAAAAACTAAAGGCAATACCTATGGGGGGAGACAGGGAGGAGACTGGAGAAAAATAAAAATAAAAATAAAAAAATAAATTAGGTGGCTTTTAATAGAGTCACTGAAAGAATTTTCAGATAATTCTTGCCTGCTGGTACCAAACCTGTGTGCAAGATAAAATCTCCAATATAAGGGATCAGTTTGAATCAGTTAAATCATAGGATGAGAGGTAATGAACTTAAGTTGCACCAGGTGGTGGAGACACTGTCCCTGGAGGTGTTCACAGAATGTGTGGATGTAATACTGAGAGACACAGTTAGTGGGCATGGTAAAGATGGCTGATGGTTGGATTGAATGATCTCAGAGGTCTTTTCTTTATGATTCTTTGATAATGTACATCTTTCTAGAATTACCCTATGTTGTCATTAGCTTTAAAATTGATCTCTGTGTTCACTGAAAACAGAAAATCTTCACATTGTTTCATGTAAACTCATTTCCCAATTTTTAGCTGTAGTACTTTTATCTTCCTTCATACCTTAAATTTGCTAGTAAAAACACTTCAATATATAACAGATGTGCCCATGAACATTGCATTAAATTTATTGCATATAGAGCATTCCTAACATTTTCATTCCTTCTCTTCTCATGTGGTGAACACCTGCATCTTTTTTACAAAAAAATGTGGTTGAGGAGGAGAGAGTGCTTGCTTTGCTTGCAACTTACTACTTTTCTGCTTGTATTTTTATAGCAAAATTACGCTTGGATACCTGTTTTATATCCCTACAAATGCATGTGTTACACATAAATCATGTATACATATTAAATATCTCTGAACTAAGCAATTCACATAGTGAATTGCTTACACAATTCACAAAGTTCAAACTTTTTTTTATTTGAGATGATTGATATCACTATTGCAACATTTTACAAATGAAGTGCCATGATTGGAAAACCTGTTCTATGATTTTAAAATGTGACAGATGTTAACAAAATGGAGGACTTTACTGAGGTATATTTTATAGTTATTAGCAAAATAACTCATGAAGTAATGTTCCTACTGCCAAATCTGGCTTCCTGCTTCCAAGCAAGTAGGCATCAATGGCAATTTTTTCAAGAATTTCATGAACCTTCTATTGAGTAGAATATCTCATATTTTCAGAATATCACAGAAAAATAAAACTATTTTCTACTCAGATCCTCAAAGATATCTGAATAGCTGGACTTAAAGAACAGTGTAACTCATCAGGTATGTGTTTCAATGATGGCCAATTTAAAAGGCACAAACAGTGTAGGATCAACTGGAAGAGTCACAGAAATGCAAATGATATTATAGGCTTTACTAAAATATGTGCCTGTACAACTGAGGATGTAAGCCCAAATTTCCTACTCCTAAGTACTTTCTTCTGCAAGCAAGCCTAGAGTCATTGCTCCACTCTGCGCTTTCTGCATACCAAAGTAGTTGTTTAAATTTGATAAAATCAAAGCAGTTGTTACATATTTATTGAAGCTTTTTATTGTAAATTTGATAGTACAAAATATAAATGTGGGACAAAGAACAGAAATTATGATGAAGACTACTGAACAATCACAGGACTTCTATGGAATTTAATGAACAGGAAAACGGTTACAGTGTTTCTGACTGAATGCTAATTCAGTTAAGCCCAAAACTCTCATTGACATAAATAGGAACTTCATATGAGAACAACAGTATGTTGTCCATGCTATTGATGACACAGTAGTTCTGTACTACAGAGAATTTTCCCCATCAGTAATTATCAGGATACAGTGTAAAGGTACACATAAGGAAGCTCAAACTCTTTGTGGTCCCAAATGAAGAGAAAAACATCCTGACCCATAACAGGTTTGAGGCCCTAGTAAGAAATGAGTTCATAGAAAAGATATGTAGACAAAGAATTAACAAATAATAAAGGCAAAACTAACGAAAAATACAACAACAACAAAATAAAACACCATAATTAACAGTGAATAATTTGTGTTCTAAATGCTGACATCAAACCCGCATACTACTTTCCATAAAATGCATGAGTGCTCTGGATTCATATTTGTGTGCTTGGAAATCTTTGTTAACTAAATTGAAACAAAACCAAAATTAACCCAGAGGATGTTTATTCCATGCTGATTTACATGAGATCTTTGCATCATTTTCTATTATTTCTTACTTAATGAACACTGACATAGATAATCAAACTATGTGCTGATACTGTCTTTCTTAAAATATGTCCTATCTTAAAAAAAAAAAAAAAAAAAAGCATTCAAAAATTTATTACATTAATTAGCTAATTTACGTAACACTTTGATGACCCAAAGTACAATACATGTGCAGAGTATTATGGGTTTTTTTATTCCATTTACTGTGGTCTTTCCTTCAGCTAGACCATTCAATTAAAAAGGAATAATCAGGGAGTGCATGAAGGATAATTACCTATTTTATGATAATTTACATCTTTTCTCATGTCCTTTGGCTAAAATTAACACCAAGATACCTAATTTATGGCAATCCCCAAGAGAAAATCTCAAAACAAGAGAAAGAAATAAAGCAGCTCAAAGTTGCAAACAGCTCCAGAAATGAGCACAGATCTCAAATCATGTCTGTCTTTTGCAATTGTAAAGTCTGGCCCTTCTTACACCAATGATTCATCCTAAAACTTCTGTCTTCATGCTGACTAACTATAACACACAGCAATTCCTTGACCCATATCACATTAGTTATCTATATAATACAGAACACATTGCCACAACAGTTCTTTTTCACAACTATGAACACCAAGGTAAAATTTTGGCTCGTTTACAAGTAATGAAAGTTTTACTGGTTGTCTGTGTGTATCAATATTTAATCCAGATGTTTGTGTTTTGCTTTCTTATCTAATTATTACCTTTGATTTTCTGGCTGAAAAATGCAGAAAAATAGGAGTTTTTGTTGGCTTTTCCATTTCTATCCCAGTCTTCAACCTGATATCATGCTGAGTTCCACCTAAAGGCTCCTTCTGGCTATGCATCTATGCCTAATAATGAAGTATGAACTGAGATGACAGCAAATTGGTGTTTAAGTCTAGATCACTAAATCTACTCCTGGTACTGAATTGCTGAAACAGTGTTTAGGTAGGTACAGCTGAAAGAATAATATGCAGAGCCTGGCTCCAATTCTCTTAGACTCCATTTAAGGACTGAGTGGCACTGGGGAAAGATCTCTTTCTGGACAAAGTGTGGAGCTTTCCCCTGTGAACCTGGAATCCAATATGGTAAGCAATCTTCTTCCCTTCCTTTATAGAACCCTTCTATCATGCTGATCCTTCTGTCATTGCACCTCTGGTGAAACACCTTTTCCCATCATATTGATCTGTTCAACTGCTGCAACCACAAGTAATGTGACTGAGATCATATGTTTGCCCTCTGTTTTCAAGGTACTCAAATGCTTCTCAGTGTTCTCAACTTCTTACAAAGCTGCTGTGTGCTCAGTCTATGCATACTTTATATCCTGTTTGGGATTAAGCCTTATAGAAAGGTTGTACTGTATCATTTATTTATGAACAATATGGCATTATGAACAAAGAACAGAAATGGAGAGAAAATTCATCTTTGTATTATTTCTTGACAAAGAGAAACAATAGAATTTCTGATATAGGAGGTGCTAAAAGTAGCCCACTTTTTTTAAAGAACACCCTTCATGTACTGGGGAAGTCTTTTACAACTTCTTTTTTCTGGTAAAAATGAAGACTAACAGTTATTTGTTGATAGCACTCATGCAACCAGCACATTTATTCCTCTTTTTCCATTTCACTTTCATCTATAGTCTGTTTTCATAACCTGATAATTACACAGGCATGTCAGTGGTAAAAGACTGTGATTTCATTGCAAGAAGAGAAATCAAACAGATGAACTGTGAAGAAAAGTACAGAGAAAAATACAGGTCAGCCTTCCCTAATATTTGTAGTAACAACAGCAGTTTAGAAAATACATGTTTCAGATTCATGTGTATGGGGCTTTTTCATCAGTTAGTATTTACAGATCTATTTGTTATCAACTGTCTTTTTTAGCTGGTTATTAAATTTATTAAATCTCTGGCCTCCCAGATAGACCCAGAAATGCAGTTTGGTTTTGCTTTTGAGCTTTGCTGGCCCAAACAACTTTCCTATTCTATCAGCCAGAAGGAGAATATTCTGAAATGTTGGCAGTGCCCTGTGTCCTACACAGTGGAATTTAAAAGCACTCATGCTAAATGCCCAGATTTTTAGCTGAAAAGCATGATAGTCTGAAACCAAACACTGCTTGCAATAATAGTCTGTGTTGCTGTCTGAAGAATTCTTAAATATATTCATGTTGTTCTGTGTTATCCTTTGCAGTTTGCCAAATCTGCATCATCAAATCTTTAATTTTAACACCCACCCAGAAGCGACCCTTTGTTTTCATCTTCTTTGTTTCTTATCCTTTCCTTTCCTCTAGAAAAAAAAAAAAAAAGCACTTATTTGGTTCACATAAGCAAGAACACCAGTGTTACAAGAAACATCGGGGCTTTATTTATTTATTTATTTTTAATTCAGATGCAGAGCAATTACTAGTTTTGACTTCCTTTGAGAGAAGCGCACATCAACAGGAAGATAATGGAAAAGAGAAAACAGGAGAGGGAACAAAATAGACTAGGAGTATTCTGAAATACTTCCCTGGAAAAAATGTGGGTTTCATAAATCACTGATAATTACCAAATACTTGGCTCTTTTCCTGTTGCAGGTTCTAAAGCAGATGAGCCCCAGGGATAGAGACCTGAAAATAAAGGGTCAATTTACCTAATTTCATAATTACAATAAAATTTGTTTTCCACTACTAGTAAGGCCCAGTTTGTTTCACTATTCCATTTATTAACCTTTTCATAAGCAATTAAATTGATAGCAGTGCCTCCCCCACAGTCCTCTAGGCAGAGCACAGGGCCAAGCACAAGCAAATTTCCCAGCCTTGGAACACTGTAGGATCAGTGTGGGTAAATTTGGCAAAAAGAGGTGCCCACAGGGACAGGAGAAAGAGTATGTGTTAGCATTTCTGGGCTACAGGGAGGACAACTGACAGCTGAAAGATCAGTTGTAAAATTGAACAGACCAAAAGGCAGCTGCAGGATTATTTTGGAGGGCATGTTTTCCCTCTTTCCTCAACCCCAGGATCATTCAAAGCTGTACATTTTATGTTGTTTCAGAGAAGGTCTGCAAGGGACAACACACAGTGAAAATGAAGGGAAATGATCACACCATCTCCTTTAGTTTGTAATTCAGTGCTTTGAGTTCTTTTCCTCTCCAGCCTTCCATAAGAAACTATGGCTATGTCTGCTGAATGAGGATCTCATTGTACACATTTGGTCCTTTGAGTTGTACCATGGTTTGACATCCATTAGAGTCTATTAGACTAAGCCAAAGATGTCTTCTTTCCTGACAGCAGACAGACTACCACTTTGAATTGAAATTCAAAATTGAATTCCCTTGGAGTTTACACGGGTAGGGGGGAAGATTTTTTTCAGGCAGAAGGCTAAGCTAAAAATAAAAACTGAGCCCCAGTTGTGAATGCTTCTTTATTCTTCTCCTCTGCCATCCTAAATATTCAAATACTGCTACATTTGAAAAAACAAGGATAAGGGTAATGAAAAATAACTGCTACACAAGAGTTCTTTCCTGTACTGCCATTTTGATAATCACTTAAAATCACCTGATTTTAATGTGCTGGTTCTCCAAAGAAACCATGAGGTAGCAAAGCTATTGTGTGCTCACTTAAGAAAAAGTCTTAGAGATATTGAAGGTAACACTGAGTTGTTGGAAAAGAAATGTATTCTCCCAACTCTAGTTCTCTCTACACCTTGACCACTTCACTCTTTGTCATTACAAATTGCAGCCTGTTAGCCAAAGCAAGGTACAACCTGTACTCTGCTCTGAGCTATCTTTATTTTGTGTTTTCACTAACTTCATGAACTGCAGCACCATTCAGAGGATGAACTTTTCATATTTCTGAAGAAATAGAGTTTCACCAACTTTGTTGTGCTTACATCCCTAAGGGACTGAGTTAGAAGGTACAAAAACAGCAGAACAGTTAAACTAGGAAAACAAGCAGTTAAAATAGGAAAGGAAGTTAAATTACTATTAGGAAACCAAGTTCTTCAGCAGTACCAGAGCTATTATTTAAAACTTTGCTGCCTCAACTTCATCCTCTTCAATATTTACATTTTTATTACTATTTGTAATCAATCCTTGTCAATGTGATTTTACCTTTAAATGAAAAGTTGCTAAGAAAAAACCAAACATTTATTTTGGCATTAATAAATCTTGTGCGACATGCTGTACATCCACATTAGGAGACACAAATCTGAAAGAGTTTACAAACCAGGCAGAAAAGGTGAATGAAGAACAAATAAAATAATATTTTTGTTTTGATATTGAGAAAATGACACAATGCCTAATCTGAAAGATAAAAATGCTTACAAAAAGAAGCTTAAGGAAGACAAATATCCAAATGTTATAGACAGCGTTGATTGTTTGAACACACGTAACGCACAAGTTTTAGAGGGGATGTAATTCTTTTCATTACAGGCAGCTTGAACTCAACCTCCATTTAGGCTATATACAAATACCTTCCAACAACAAGCAATACCATGGAGATCCTTTAAAATCTCAGGCCATTTTTGCACAGTGTTGTATAAAAGCCATGTGGGGGATTAAATTTGACTATGTGCATAGAGCCCACCAAGCTGCTTTCTTCTCCACTTCAGTAGGACAACAGGAGAAAAGATGAAAAAGCTCATAGTTCAAGATAAGGACAGGGGATATCACTCACCCATAATTCTCATAAGCAAAACAGACTCCATTTTGAAAAGATTAATGTAATTTATTGCCAATTAACAATAAAGTAGGTTAGTGGTCACAGACACAAAACCAGTGCTACTCACAGCTGAGCTCTGGCCAACAGTGGATTGGATCCCTTTTGGAACCAGCTAGAATCAGCTTTTATTTGACATGGGGTAGTTTCCAGGTTCTGTTCACAAAGGCCATTCCTGCAGAACCCCTGCTGCCAAACTCTGGGCATATAAACCCAATACAGGCCCTAAGCACAAGGCAAAGGTAAATACGCTACTGCTGCTCTGGAATGTAGTAAGACGACATCCCCCAAGGCTTTTCCCTTCAGGACTCTATCAGCTGTGGTCCGAGACTGAAGAAGCTTATGTTTACCAGTCATAAGAGCACATTATTAGAACAGAAACATTTTGTATTAGCATTATGACACAGTATGGTCAGCATAACTGTTCACCAACTGCATGCAGCATGTTCAGTCCTGTTTCCTCACTCATCTCTAATCTCTGCATAGTGAAGAGAAGAAAACACACATCAAGGCATCAGCATTGCCAGGACCAAACCTCAGAGAACACCAGAACTCACTGTTCACTCTGCAAGAGATACAATGACATAAATTTAACTGATGAGTAGGTTTGGACCTGAGGCTTGTGCTTAACTGACAATACATCTATACTCAGCAAGATAGGATGGCATCCCCCAGATCACACAGGAAGGGTGTGGCAGAACTAAACTCTTCTAATAAATAGTTTTCTGTACAACATAAATCTTACCCTGTGATTGAACTGACTGTTTTCTACAGCTGCACTTCCTTGATTTTCTCTTCTATGCCATTATTCACAGCAGAGTTTTATTTTAAATGTCTATAAAAGCAAAGGCTACACCCACAGATAAATAAGGAAATAAATAGCTTTGTGGATCTGGGTCTCTATTCTCAGAGCCCATTGTCTCCACTTTTTTTTTCTTTCCAGACAGCACGCATCTCTATGACAAATGATTATGGCCGTATTCAATTTGAGCACTGACAAATGAATACAGTTTGAGCAGGGGGGAAGAAGAAAGTTATAGGGAGTAAATACTCAATTTGAAGAAAAAAAAAAAAAAAAAACACTTATGCCATAAAGCACATCATAATTTTCAACTGAAAAGGACATCTTCATTTTCTAAATGAGTCTTTTAAAATGATAGGCAATAATGGGAGAATAAGTCCATTATTCATTTATAAGAGAATTAGCATAACAAAGCTGCTTAATGTGAGAGTTCAGAAAGCTCTGATTAATAAATTAATCCTTACATTTTACAATAGATCTCCTTTTTTTGTGAATAGTTTCTATAAGAAACTACTTCAATAATCTCACTGTTTTTTAAAAAATTTAACTCTTCAGAGAACAGAGATCAAGATGAAATTCACTTTACGTACTTTGGTACATAAGGGTAAAAGCTGCAGACAGAGTTCCACTGGTGGCCATGCAGACCATAAGGATACATATCACACTGCTGCCGCTACCAAAGCAGCACAATTTAATTTGAACAGAAATGAAAATAAAGGCAAAAAATAATTAGTAGTCTCCAATTCAGTAAAGTAGCCTGAATAGACAGTTTTTTTTTTTTTTCCTAATCTCTTGAAATCCCTCTCATAATTGTTCTTTCTATGCCATGCTTTTCAGTGTGGATACACTGAGTTTTAAACTTGCCTGCTCTTCTTTAAATAGACTACATAACAATTAAAAGTCTCTTCTGAGAAGAGCCTGTTCCACATGAAACATTTTCCATGTTAAGTCATAGGTCTCTCTCCCGTTTTGTGAAGACAAATAAGGCATTATTCACAATTTTTTTTTTTACTTAAAGGAAAAAGCTCCTGCTTTTTCTTTTTTTTTTTTTTTTTTTTTTTTTTTTTAAATTAAGCTTCATTGAATTAAGCCTTTTTATCTGGATACCCCATTACAGGGCTTGATTCAGATTTATTTTATTAGTAGCATTGTTCCTAAGTAGATGTAAGTAATGCAATTTTATGTATGGCATCATTCCATGTCTACTTCTGTATTAACAATTGTATATAGGAGCCTCTTTTTGCAAGAGAACACTAATGAAACCAGTACTTTGTGATTCTTTTCCTCTTTCCCCTCATAATTCACCTCTGATGCTGTTATTTCTTCTGTGCAGATGTAATAGCAATGGACAAATCTTTCTGATTGCTATTGGAGAATCAGAAAGGATGCTTACAATGGGAATCTTCTGATAAAGTGTTAGTCTCAATACAGAGAATTCCACAAAGAATCATCACATCACATCACACCATGCTTGATACAACTTGTTCCAGATTGCTTTCAAAAGCCTTGGTGACAGGGTTAATGATATAGTAACAACACAAGAAATGTGTAAAAGCAGAATTAATTACTTGTAGTTTCACCTTGAACAATGTGAAGATCACTTGAAAGTTATTAAAGTATGCTACGACTGTTTTGATTGCACAGTGACAAAAACAGAGGGTCTGACAGGTTGATCTCCTACATTTAGGAGTCCAGTTTTTTGGATAGGAAGTCATACCATTAGCATTATGTCCTTCCTATTGGGTAACACAAGTGGAATTTCATTTTCTGATCTACAACCTGAACGTCAATGAAGGAACCTCTCTTTTGTACTGTTCTGATAGCCAATCTCATTTCTTGTATTACTGATCTTTGCTCATTCACCTGTAGTCTCTTCTGGTGCTTTCAACTTGTCTATTCTCATCACACCTTTACTCTGCAAATATAAGAGAAAATTCCCTGCTTTGTTGGATGAAGTAGGACAACAGGAGGAAAAATCATTGCACACAAAAACAACACAGTACATCTAGACTGCACAGCAGTTCTCCACAAATCCCTCTTACTTCAGATGCAAGCCAGAAGCAGCAGATCTTTAAAAGGAAAAAGGTTGACAGATTACATTTTCTGACAAGTCTCACATTGCAAGGCAGAGAAAGCACTTTTAGAAAATTGTTCCTAATTCATGTTTTATTGCAAATTAATGATGCAAACAGGAAAACAAACTCCATTACTTATCTCTGCTAGAATTCTTCCAAAGAACCTTCAGCTTGAATTTCATTTGCTACTTTCATCATTATTATTTTGTTTTATTTTAAAATATATTTATTATTTTCATTGAATTTATTGTTATTTGTTGCCTAGAATGGTTTTGAAAGAGCTGCAAAAACTTGGTGAAATCTATTTGGCAAAGTAACACTGTTTATTCAAAAAAAATAAAGTTTGCCAAGATCATAAGCCTAAGGGTTCTATCATTTAAATCTCCTGCTCAATGAAAAAAAAAATAAAAGCCCTTAGAATTTAGTGCTTTGGCGCTCAGTTCATGCTTCTATTTAATTGTTCTTCCCTTTGGCATTGTTGTTACAAAGAATCCATTTCCACAATTTCCTTTTGTGTCCTATTCATATTATTCCTCAGTACATTCTTACTGAGGAAGATGTTGTTTTCAACTGTTTCCCACATCACACATACAGAAACCACTTTCCTTGCCCAGCCTTAGTTGCAAAGCAGAGGCTTGGTGGCAGCTGTTGCCTTGTCATCTTGAAAGTTCTGTTCTAATGTTTTCTCACTCTACTGATGTTGCTTTATGCACACACACCTTTTTTTGAGTGACCATGCGTACTTTCCAGTCTTCATTGTGAACCTACAGGCAGAAATCCATCAGATTTCATATCAATATTCTGATTATTAACTGACTAATTAATGACTGATTAACTAATGAAGTTAATATCTGATATTAACTTCATTACTTAATTGGTAACTGTGAATTTCTGTTTTAGAAAGCAGATCTATTGTATTATTGTTCAGAATTTCCAGAGATGAAGAAAATTATACCATTAACCTTTTAGTCTTAAAATTAAGATCCTCCAATTCTCTTTCATTTCTGTCATCAGTGCCTTTAGACCTAGAGAAGAAGTTCTTGTTTGTTGACTAAGCTTTTTTCAGGAAGCTTTTCATCAAAACTAGATGAGCCAGTAATCACAGTCAAAACAAATGATAGAACCTAATAGAATCACACTGATACTCTGTCCACAGATAGGCTACAAGTTAAAACAATAACGTGTAATTTGAGGCACATGACATTTCAGTTCTGGTTAGCTGGGAAGAGTAATACACGAGCCACAAGCAGATCCATTAATCTCAACTAGTCAGAGAGGGAACTGCATGTATAACACCTCATCTAGTTTTATTTACCTTGCTTTGCACTGGGGCTTTCCCATGAAATTCATCATTACAGTAAAAATGAAATTCTAGAGATATTCCAAGTTATGCAAGTATTTTTGCATACTGCACTGTGAATAAAATTTTTGCACAAGTGCAAACCTATTTAAATAGGTCATTCTAGAGTCCTGCTTTCTTTTGAATAGCATATTTGTGATGGCACTTCTTTCTAAGCACAAGCATAATACAGAAAATTAGTCACAAATATAATCAAATTCAACACTATTTCTACTTCCTAGATCAGGAAAGGTGCCCCAGAGCTGCTTTCTTTACACTTGCTTTAATATTACAAAGCTTCTTTGTAATGTGCTGTGAGTCAGGGAAGCAAAGACAAGACAACAATCCTGGCCATGACCATGTCTTACCTTTAGCTTCAGGCTCAAGTGCCCTAACCCAGAAGCAGGTATTTTAAGTCATTCAATTTCAATAGAGGATTCAGATCTTCTCTTTGCCCAATTAGCCATTTGGTTTACAGTGTTGGTTCAATGATAGGTATCTAACACTTGACTGTTTCTCTTCCTGAGATGTCAGTATTACTGTAGGAGGAAAGAAGACTACCAGTTATCTAGATATGGTGTCAGTCAGCCAGTGTGCTAGGGATAAAGGACAGAAAGCACCAGATACAAGTTAACAAATAAAAAGAAATAAATCTTCCTGTTTTGTAAGTTAAAGCTTAAGAAAAGCTTTTAGACAAGGGAAGGTAGGCGTATACTGATGCAGGTATTCATTATCTGTACCTTAGCATTTAGGGACTAGCAAAAAGAATGAAAGTCCAGGTCTTCTGATAGACCGCATTATAACTTGCCTGAAGCCTTGAAACCTAACAGGAGCAGACAAAATTTGAAGGGCTACATTGGAAGATAGACTTCTAAACTTCAGTAACCTCTGTTAAAAACTACTCTAACACAAAGCCTGTGGAAAAAGAAACACAATCCAGTTTCTTTCTCACCACCAGGGAAAGTTTAGCCTTATCCTATTTAAATTGTTGCCTACAACTACCCATATGCTTAAAAAGATCATCACATCGCAGATTCCAAATCAAGTAACACCTGCCAAATTTACTACAGTGCTTCTTGTGGAAGTTAGCATATCTCTTTAAAAATTCAAAAGATGATCAAGCAAATCAAGAGCAGCAGCAGAAACAAGAAGAAAATAAGGAACTCAGAACATCCTGCAAAAGTAATATGTTTAAATATAATCCTCAAAGCAGTTATTACAAAACATACGCCATAGATTCATAACCAGTTGTTCTACTTACAAAGATGCAGAATCACTTCCACGAGGTTCATGGCAACACCAGGTAAAGTATTCACAGGGAGGCTAATAACCACATCCAGAAAGAAAAATTGAATTCACTCAGCTGGTGAACAGTCTCTAGCAATATAGCATTATCTTCTCAGGAAATAGCCAAGGTATAGAAGGAGCTCTCCTGCTCTGTGGCTGGCCCTTATATGAGCCCAGGGTGACTCCACCCTGGGTCCAGCCCTCTCTGAGCACACCAGGTGCAAACACAGTGTGTGCTCTCTGGGCCAGCCATGCCCCTTCACCAGGTGCTCAATCACCAGCTCAAGCCCTGACTTAACAGTTATCCTACATCAGTAAATGAAGAAAATGAAGGCAACTGAATACAATTTTGTAACGTTTTCAGCAGTGCGGGTGGTATGGTTATATGGTTTACCTCTGGAATTTGGATTGTATTTGTGGAGACCCTCTATGAAGGTGAAGAAAGGTTTTCAGAGGATGATTTTATTTTAAAGAAGTCTGAAAACTTGCTATGTTCTCTAATGCTAAAACCTGGTAAGATGTCAGAAGGAGGTTTGTTGTATAGTTAGTATCTCTCGATGTCCATACTAGAAAATTTGTAACTGGCTATGCTAAGGAAATAGTTAATTTGTTTTGTTAGACTCTAGGTTTTAACTACAATTATTATGTTTTCTGTTTCATTCTTCTATATTAATGCACCTTGTTCATAATTTTTATATTTTTTTAACAGAATCCTTTTGTAAATTACACATACAGTAAATTTTCCGCTTGGAAAATAGTATTAGTTCTTCTAGGCAAAAAATTAGCTGCCCTTTCTCCTATTAGGAGAAGTAACAATTTCATGGGGATGATGAAAAACGTTATATGTTTGCTACAATACATCTGAATATGACGATTTTTGTTATATTGTTTGTTATATTTGTTATATGTAAATATTGCATGGTACTTTAAAAGTTCTTGTAGAGGTTAAAATACAGAATATGAGCTTTGAGTTTGAAGTGTACTGCAAGCATATTTGAGACCTTTCTGATATTATTTCCTCAGAACATGTAGAAGGTGCAGGAGCTACCATGAGCTAGGCAAAGCTACTGATGTCTCATGTGTCACACCATTTGGTGTGTTACTCTACAAACACTAGACTCATTAAAGTAAGTGTAAAAGCAATCAAGTTAGAATAGACTTTTTTTAAACCACATGTAAGAATTTCAAAAGCTATTCACACTACAGTATGCTTAGGTAATTTGAAAATGCTATTCAAAAAAAGGTAAGGTTTTCACAAAACAAGGAATCTGAATAAATTTCTCTACCAAAGATAAGTAATTGAAACTGTAGGAGGCTTAAAGAGGCAGGTTCCTTTCTACATATCTCAGGAAAGCCACTGTCAGCATGAATATTGCTAACTTCAAGCTTTCAAAATTCATGACTCAGACTAAAAAAGTTTTATCATTGGTCTAAAACTCATTATGTTAAATAAAGCTTTGTGGCCCGTATGTTCTTTTTCTACATCCCTCTCTTTAAACTATCTTCTTTGTTTTCAGGTACATTTTCCTAACTCCAGAGACCAGAAAGCTACAAATTCTGCCAGTGAACACCAGGCACCCCTTCAAGCCTCAGTCACAAGAATCAGTAAAATAAAAAAGCTATATACTTACTCCCTGTGATTAAAGCAGTTTCTATTTCATCCTTCATATGAGAAGAGCATGGAAGATAGGTCTGCGGATGTTCAATTTAGTAGCATGAGTAAAAGTGGTTTGACAGGTATGACCACATATTTTCCCCTTTCTAAAAGAAGGTTAGAATCGCATTTAAAATGTAGAAAGTCCTTCTAAAATCAGAGAGGAATGATACATTGCAGTTAAACTCGCATTAAGAACATCTGCAGTTGCTCTCACTGTTTTTTCAGTTTTGATGAAGAAAAATGGAACTGTAGTGGACTCTGCAAATCTTCCTCCATCTCTTTAGTTAACCAAAAGGCAGTCTGGAGGTAGCTCTGCTGAACAAGATTGGGGGATTCTGGACTACAGTGAGCAAATAGGAGCCAGCAGCGTGTACTATATGCACTGTACTGTACAGTATCACTAGAGAAAGTTATTTACCTGGCACTTGTTAGACCATCTCAGGAACACCACAACAAGCTTTCAACTGTTGGGTAGGAATAAGAATTTTATAGGGAAAAGCAAATTTTTTTCAACTATTTCCTGTCATAGAATCACAAAGTTGGATAGGAGCTACAAGATCATCTAGTCCAACTGTCCTCCCATTACCATTGTTATCACAAGCCACTAACCCATAACTTGTACTTGTTCGTGTACTTGTACATGAACACTGCCAGGGACAGCAATTCCACCAACTCCCTGGGCAGCCATTCCAGTGCCTGACCACTCTCTGAGAGAAAAAGCTTTTCCTTATGTCTAACCTAAACTTCCTCTGGTACAACTTGCAGCCATTTCCTCGGGTCCTGTTTGTTGCCTGGGAGAAAAGGCCAAACCCCTCCTCATCACAACCTCCCTTCATGAAGTTATAGAGTGCAACGAGGCACTGAGCCTCCTTTTCTCCAGACTAAACAATCCCAGCTCTCTCAGCTGCTCCTTGTAAGATTTGTACTCCAGACCAGTCAACCAGTTTCATTGCCCTTCTCTGGACATGTTCCAGGACATGAATGTCTTTCTTGTAGTGAGCGGCCCCAAACTGAACATAATATTTGAGGTGCAGCCTCACCAGTGCTGAGTACAGGGGGATGATTCCCTGTTCCTGCTGGCCACACTACTTCTAATGCAGACCAGGATGCCATTGGCCCTCATGGGCACCTTTCATCTGGGTTCACAACATTACCACCTCCAGAAAGATTCCAGTACGAAACATGCATTGATATAATTATTTTTGAGCAATTATTCTCATTATTAAAACTTTTCTTTTGTTCTACATTCTTTCTAGTTATTTTTAAAAACAGTCCCAAGTAGTATTTAAACTTATTTTAATGGTGTATTAGCTTATCAGTTTGCCTGATCAAGGTAAGAATGACAAAATTGCAGAGTGGACATCTCAAAGAAGATTTAATACTAGTGAACTGTCAAAATCATCACCCTCAGATTTCAAAAAACTGACATAAAAAAGACAAGTGTTTGTTTTTTTTATTAAAAAGAGTTTGCAGTAGCAATTCAGATATAATCATGTTGTCCAAAGATTGAACTGTCAGAAAGCAAATGATTTTTATCAGATTTTGCAGGTGACCATTAAGAAACCTCTCAGTGCCTTTGAATCAAAGACAATTAGTTATATGTCTATGCTGAAGTAATTGTTACCCTGAAAAACGTTTTTTTCAGACACTAATTTGCTTTATGCCTTCATTATTCCAAGAGGAAAGTTTTCTGCTGCTTCTTATTGCCTTTGTTTTCAGTTATTGAAGTGGAGCTTATAATACTGAAGATTGTGTGAATATAAAGAGGGAACCAAGGTTTCACCAAAACTTCTTTTTTTTCTTTCTTCTTCCTCTATCATGGTGATAGGTTTATATATGTGTGTGTGTGTGCATGTTAAAACACAAGACTTTTTTTTTCTTATTTTCTAATATATTCTGTGTAAACATTATCTGAGGTATGAAGACACCACTATTTTGAGCTCAAAGTTGTTACTATAGGATAGGATGAATCCTACCTGTCATCGTTAAACTAAAAATCATTTTGAAAGTAATTCAGATTTTAGGAGCAAGATGTATAAACAATGGTCCAAGCAGCAAATGTGTGAGGTAGAAATTGAGAGTGTGATTGATGGAAGGAAGAGGTAGACCTGAAATCTGATAATTGCTTTTTCTGGAAATATAAAGTAGCAGAAAATGAACAGCGCAAAGAAGGACAAAGGAACAGAATCTAATATGATTTTTTTTCCAAAATGTCGAGTAAATTTGAGTCAGGATCGTTTTCAGGCATAAGTCTTCCAAAGCAGCTATTTTTTTTCTGGGAACACAAACACAAAGAAATAATTTGTGGTACAATTTCATATCGTCATACAGTATGTCCACAGGTAGACCTTTGCAAAAATTGCCCTGAAAATATCAGTCAAGAGAAGAAAGAAGGGCAACAATGTTAATGTGGAAAAGAAAATTTTGAAGTAGAAGAAAATTGTCATGAAAACAAAACAAAAAAGTTTTGTTACCATGTATGCATAAATAGAAACCTAGTGCTACCAGAAAGTACATTCAGTTTTAGCTTCCTTGATGTTGATTCCTCCTCTCAGAAAGAGTTGTGATGATGTCAGAAGGTCTCTTTACATGAGTCCAGATCATGGGGCTTGGTTCACGAGGTGAAACTAAAAGAACATCAGTAACATCAGCATTAAACTGAACATTCAAAGAACAAATGAAATCCTTAGTTGTAAAATACATCAAGTGGCAACTTTAAGATGTGAATTAGTCAAAGGCAGAATTGACACAAGGGCAGATATAGATTCCTTTATTCATTCTCTGCACAGTGTTTGTGTATTTCATTTTGCTGCATTTATTTCTATGCTCAGGACCCTTATAATTCGTTGGCAGAAGGTACGCTGTGTCAGCTGAAATGGAGTTTTCCTCTGTCACTAAAATCTTCATCATGTTTGTCTTACTAGAGATCCCTCCTCGCATATCTCACAGATTATTCTGCAACTATGTTCTATTGGAAAAAAAAAAAAAAAAAAAAAAAAGAAAAAAAAAAATTGCTATTTTAAAAATACTCTATTTTCTGAAATATTTATTCTCATTATTAGAGCATTATTAGTGCTAATAAGTTCCTTCATATTAACAATAACACAGAGTATCTTTGTGCAAACTGATCATTCTCCAATTTCTTCCAAGTTGCCTGTAAGGTCAAGAGTACTTCTTGTTGCTGGTAGTATTTCTAAAGGAACACTGAAGAAGAATCCATACAGCCTTTCTAAAACTGAATACAACACACACAGATTATATTCTGTAACTCAGAACAACTGTAGTTAATGTGAGGTAAAAGGAGGGGAAGATGTACTGTAGCAGTCAAATGCATTTCCAACACTGTGCATTAGGCACATGCATATTTCAGATGACGACATGGAAGGAGGTGTGTTATATCAGTGACTTCTCTTAGGAATATGATTCGTGAAGGAATTGCTAGTGAAAAAAAATGAAAACAGACAAGTATGCAAATAAGTAATCATTTTTTCCCTCTGATATTTTCTGTTTGGAGTCATCATCAACCTGTTCATCTTCATCTGGCAAAATCAGGACTGTCAATTTGGCTTAATGTTGACCTCTTACTAAAAGCATTGCAGGTAGGTGAAGGGAATATATATTTTGTGTCATGATTCAAGCTAAGCTTGTTCTCCCAGTGTCAAAATAAAAATCCATAAAGATTTAATGAGTTATAACTGGTAAGTAAATCTTACTAGAGGTAACACTGAAATTTTCTTTCCTTCAGGACTAGCACATTTTAAAACTGACCATTCATTGGTGTCAGAGATAATTAACAGGAGTTGCTTATTTTCTTCTCATTTTTTATTTACTCCACATTTTGCACATGCACAAAGCGATATTACTTGCTATTTAGTATTTATGACTCTAGAGAACTCTTATTGTGTTTATGCAGTTTTAGTTTTCTTACAGATGTATCTCTGGTTTTAATAACATTTCTGTGTTTTGGGGAGCATAGTGGAACTGTAATATAGAAGACAATCTCATTGCTGGGAACTCCTTGGATGGCCTTCAGCAAATTAGACCTTCTTCCTCTCCTTCAGGATGTAGTTGACACTGCTTTTAAAGTGGAGAATGGGTGCCGCACATGAGCTTTGCATTTCTTACTGTGCTGAAAATATCCTCAGCAGTCTGATCCATATCTTTAGAGCAACTAGTTGAAAGGAATAATTTCTTTTTCTCGTATTCTCTCCCTTTTTCATACTAGACATAGTACATGATGGGATGTGATAATTGGGTCCAAAGGTTATAGTTTGTGACTTCTGGTTTTACTTCAGATTCAGGCATTATTTTTGTGGCTTACATAGAGAAATCCATATCCACTTCATAGGTACATTCACAGGCTACTATTGTCCTGCCTGTTATTTGAATGCCCTAAAAAGAAAGAACATAAGGAAACATTTTTCTCACTGAAGATGCTTGAAAGTTGTTTCCCTTCCCTTCTTCAAGTGATGCATGTCACCCTGAAAGAGGAAGGAGAGGAGGAGACAATCTCAGTCTGCATTTTATCTCACGTAATGTCAATTCCGTGAATGTTGTCCTTGCAGTCTACCAGGAGAATCCCTAGGGGTTCAGATTTCTTTTTACAGTAGGCTAATGCTGCTGTGGAACTTTGACATTGCTGATAAATGATGCTACATAAGGGCAAAGCATTGATTTATTGCCTGCAGTGTTAGATTGAAATTTGTCTACAGACTTTACAGACTGCTGTTTATAGCCATGGTTTTCTGATGGCTGCTTCTGCTAAGAAAGAAAGTTGATGATGTGAAAGAAAAAGGAAAAGATACCATAACTTGGAAAATCTTAAATATTGAGGACCTGGAAAGTGGCGAGACGCCTTCAGTTACTTGACCTTGAAATGAGCAATGGAGGTGTGTACTGTATAAAATAAAAGCTCTTTGGGAGAGTTCCAGCAGGGAGATGAGTGGGTCAATTTACTGCTTGGCTCCTGCCTGTCTCCACTGCATTTCTGCATTCTCCGCAGCTCCTAATAACACTAGCCAAGTCCAGATAGAGGGGAGAGTTTCTCTTGTCTGAACTTTCCTATCTAGTTCAGTTCTACTGCATTCGATCTGAATTCTGTCACTGTGATAGCCTTTATATAACCTCCCAATCAAAAATGAGACAAAAGTCCACTTTATTCAGATAGTTATTTCCCATGAGCCAAAATGAGATATTTCCATCATTTGTCATTGAAGTTATAGCACTTATTATGGAAATTTTATAATTTTTGACTTTTCTCTCTCTTTAGTTTTTATTCTATATTAGCACATGGAGAGAATTAAAATGACACTTCTTTTTGATAGTTTATAACATAGAATGGGATCTCATCCAATTAATACAAATAATTACAAAAAAAATAGTTTTTTACTTCTAAAATATGAAAGTTGATCAAAATGTGTTAGCAACTGTTTATTGAATTATAATACTTACAGTCACCATTATAAATCACACCTTTGTTGTTAACAGAGCTGGCATCATTATTTGCATGCCATTTGTTGTGATTTATTTGTAAATAAATCCTGAAGACATAAAAAAAACATGTATATTCAGGAATTTTACTGGCTATGAGAGATTTAAAAACAGAAGGAGAGATAAGATCCATCAAATCAATTATCTTTCATGCACTCTAATGACAGCTGTGATAAGATGCATTTTGGAAAATTATTTAATTTATGTTATTATTTGGAAGTGAGTTCGTCTAATTTTAACGTTTTTTGTTTTTCATTTCCATTATCTGTACTAATATTTTTGTTTGTTTTTTGAAGGAACTATGAGCAGTTCTTTGCTTATACGAGGAATACAAGGAATTTTTTTTTTTTTTTTTTTTTTTTTTTTTGAGAATACATTTTGAAAGATTCATTTACTTTAAAACAAACAGAATTATAGAATGGAACATAATAAATTGCTGTCCTTACAACTTCTCATGTGATTGGCTATCTGTGAGAGTGCACGTTCTGAACTTCTAAATATTTTTCCCATATGTGGTCTGTCCTACCACAGAATCACACGATGGCTGAGGCTGGCCATCAGGCCCAACCCCTGCTCCAGTGGAGACACCAGAGCACTGGGCCCAGGTCCACATCCAGGTAGCTGCTGAAGGTCCCCAAGGAGGAGACTCAGCCTCTGTGCAACCTGTGCCTAGCAGAAATGCAAGCAGTGTAAAGCCCTAAGTCTCAACTCAGAAGTTATGTTCATACGTTGTTTATAATTGATCCTTTATTTCTTGTGCAATATCAAAGGAAGAAAAGTAGAATCTAGATACTTTCAGTAGATAATTAAGAATGCCTAAGCCTAAGTGCACCAGAACCTGATACTTTGCCAAGTGAATCGCCTTACTACTCACTATTTTTGAATCCTTCATTTTGTTATCTTTTTTCATACAGTGCTAGAACATTTACTTCCACTGAGAAATGCCATGTTACTATAATCAAAATAATGAACTTGTCCAATCTCATGTTCATTTCAACTGGAAAGAAAGTTTAAAACTTCCTTTAATTGATTCATTTGAATAAAGTCCAAAGGCATTATTTTAATAAAATGGAAACGTTCTTTCTGATTTGGGGTTTACTTTTAATATTGTAGGAAAAATTCTGGATTAAATAGGTGTGCTGGATTAAATTTAAAGTACATTATCATTTTTTTACATAAGCAAATAAAGAGTTGCTTGAATGGATTGACAAGACAATTTTCTATTGTTTAAAGGACTAAGAATCAAAATGTTTCACAAAGGCATGTTGCTACCATTAAGGATTCTTTTCAAAAACATTATTATAATATTGGAATGTTTAATTCTTACATTTTTGCATTGAGGCTTTTGACACTCTTCTGGTAGAAATCATATTTCTGATTATTATTATTTTTTGTATCCGTGACAGTACAACAGTATTACTTAAATTAAGTTTAAAATAAATCATCCAAATTGAGTGAACATTTTTGGTAGTTATGAGATTTTTTTAGGTTCTGTTCAGAATAGTCTAACATCATTTTCTGATACTTTTTTACTTTGTTCAGTTCCATTTTCTGCTTCACTGAATGAAAATAACTTGTATTATTGAAATGAAAATAACTCAGCATTGCTAAATTAAATATTTCAATTAAAATAAACATCCCATTTCATTTTTTTAACAAATCTTTTTTTTTTTTTTTTTTTTTTTTTCAGATAACATTTTTGGGGGATGGGAGAGGTGTTTTGCTCTATGATCATAACATTCAGTTAAGTATGTTTGGATTTTCTTCAAAGAGAAGATTTTATTTTCTGAACAACACTGAAACTGCTTGCAGAATATGTCCTATGAAGGTGCATAAAAATAGCATATTTACAATTGTTAAAATTTTATTATTTTGCCTGAAATTACATGTTGCAATGTCAACAAACTGTCACGTCCAATGGCAGCAACAGGGTGCAGCCTAACATGTAACACATGAGGACAAGGTGTAGAAGCAGCGATTAAAACACACATTAGTCTGTTTTAAGGCAGCTACCCACTCACTGTTATTTCTGGGAACAAATGTCAGAAGTGCTTACCACCCAGCCTGCTCACAGAGTTGTGTGTGCTCCTTATCCTCTGTGACTGAAACTAATGTTGGCTGGCTGTACATTTGCAGAGCTCTCCTTTTATTCCGAACGTGCTGCACAAAAGCCCTGTGCTTGGTAGCCCCCTCTTGTTCCTGGAGCATAGATAGTCCGAGCCTGGCAGGGCAGATTTACTCCCTTTGCCCCCTCTTGTGAGGAATTCTGCTGGTGCTGCGCAAAGCACACAGCAAGTGAACTGAGGAGAAAGCTTTCCATTGAACTTCAAGCATTATTTGCCTTCTTTATTTTTATACAGAAAGCTTGTGCTTTCTTAGATACCCTTCCTAGGACTCAAAACTAGAGCAAACTTGCTTATGACTTACTCCATCAGCTTTTGAGCATAACCTTTTAAGCCTTTGCTAAATGCACAAATTTCTTTCAGTCTGTGACCTGGGCTGCATTATTTTCCACTGTTTGTCTTACCTCCAGGGTACATTTAAATAATTGCCTAGTCAATCACAGCAACCAATTCTAATCTCGTTTCAGTATTATTTTGGCCTGTATAATTCATTCAGAGGAAAACGGCTCCCTCATCCCCAGCTCCTAGGAAACCTTTTCTGGTAATTCATATTGACAGCAGTGAGTCGTGACATTTATCGGTGAGGTGAAGCTGACCAGCTGCAGGGCTCCTGACTGATTAACTCAGCCAACAAGCTGCTCATGATTCCAGCCAAGTATTGACTTTTCTTTACTTTCCCTCCCCTCTAGTTGGAGAGAAAATATGGAGGAATTCTTTATCACTACATTTTTATTTTTACCAGTCATATGAAATTTACAAAATAGACCACAGAAAATATCTTCCCTTTAAGCTTTACTTTCTTAATGTAAAAGAGTATCAAATATATTTCAAAGAAAGCAAATCAGGTGTTGAATTTAAAGTAGTTGAAATATAAAATAAATGAGCAGCTTTTATCTAACCTTATTGAAATCATTTACTTCAATAGCAGTGAGTTTCAGTCTTGTAAACAACTTGTCTGTAATCAAATGACCTTTGGGATGAAAAGCCCCTAACGTTTAAACTTAGCTCATTTTCATTCTTTCAGCCCAGAAGCACAAACTGTGCTTCAAGGTAGGAAGTATCTTTATTCTCGTTTGTTTATGTGCTTTTAAAGCCAAGAAACTGAACTCAAGGATAGAGAATTTTGAATATTGCTCTGTTTTCAATCTACTCTAAAATGAACATCTTTTTGTCAGGGCTCGGAATTATCAGCCTTTCATCTTTAGTAGCAATAAAAAAATCCTGACTCTATATTTCAGCAGTAGTTGTCCCAGTCCCGCTTTCATGAAGGAAAATGTAAATTAGCAACTCTCTATGGCGATTTTAACTGATGTCCATTTCTTTCCCTATATCTCCAACATCAAGCACATGGAATGAACAATAAAATATTTTATCATTAAAATGAAAGTTTTCATACAGTTCTTGACAAAGATAAGTGAAATTAATGTGCTTTTGTAAAATATTATTAATAACCTGTTTTTTTCTGATGCGTCACATATAAGAATCTTGAAATTGTGCTATTACTATTATTTGTGAGTTCACTTTTTCCATCTCTTTTATAAATCTGAAGTGATTCCAGAGAACACAAGTGATAATTTGATACCTTGAAGACAAATATCAACAAATAACTGAATGTATTGTGGCTAGCCTGCACAGTCATTAAATAAAAATTAGCATTAGCATACTCTAGCAGATATAATTTACATTCTGCAGAATCATTAGATGAGTTTGCTAACAAGTTGAGCTTCGTAACCCTTCCTGGCTCTCCTGGTCAGAGATGAAGAGTTTCAGCAGAGAAACAAGCACTTCCCAGAAGGACTACAGATAACAGTCTACGCAGTTTCTTTCACTTTTTGAGTACCTTCATTCTGGACTGACTTGCCCAAGTCACAGTCATATTTTAAAAAAGCCTAAGTATTTCTAGAACTGGCATATTCAAGCACCATTGAATTACTGAATCAGTCATTCTTGGCATTGAAATGTAAGTTCCATAATTGCTCTGATTGAGGAGATGACATTTCCAGAAATGGCAGTGAGCTAGCAAAGGACACAACACTGCTGGGAAGATAAGTCAAAGGTGACAAGACTATGCAGCTGCCAAAGAACAGGCATGACTTAGTACATCAGTGTTAGACCTAACTGCATTCAAGTGTTGAGTCTTGATGGAGACTCAAGTCAAACTCTTTGCTAATATTGTCATCAGATTTCTGTGATGTGCATTGCCTGGGATTAACACAGAGGTTTTTACTGATGCCTTTCAACCTGATGGAAAGCAGCCAGAATTAGAGCTGAGAAGAACATAAAGGACAGGTAGGGAAAGAAGGTGGGCAAAATGGTTTGGCATAAATTAGTCACAAGGAGGCTTCTGACAGGAAGCAAAATAAACTGCAATTTTTATAATAAGAACTGTGGGATGGAGAAAATGCCCACTACCACAAACATTCTCATTTAGCTATGATAGAAATAAAAGGCATACAGAAACTTGAATGTCTGTGCTAAATCTATTAGACTTGTTGCAATATGGATCATCAAAGTCTAAAATGATCGCAGAATACATGGATATCAACCGTGTAACTACATGATATGTGCACTGCCCTGCTTGTTACATAACTTTGTAGATATTTATACCTTTTGTTATATTTATATGTAGATATTTATACCATTTGTTCATTTGTTCATTTTTTACTGTGTAAAGAAATTGTCTAATCCTGTTCATAATTATGATGCAGTTATGTTTGAAAAATATTTGTGTATTCAGAGATAGACTCAGAAAAAAGTGTATTTTTAATCTGCAGTTAGAGCAGGTCCTTAAACAGCAAAATATATTAGTTTGCCTGTATGAAGTGTTGTGACTTCTTCAAATAAAATTGTAAAAAACACCTTTTGTCATTCTTCCCCAGTGCATTATGTTGTGACAAGTCAGTCATGTTACATAACATAATGTGACTGATACCAAATGGCATGTAAAAGATTTTCTCTCTTTTCCTTTTAGAACGAGGATCCTGTGCTACATATAGCTGGACTTTGTGGGGGTCTTTTCTATCTCTTTAAACAGAGAGAACAAAGGAATGCCCACTTTGAAAGATCTTCCATAAAAACTGAGTGTCAGAATATTGTTAAATGTTTAGTTTACATCTGTATTCTAAAAAGTATATTCAACTTTGAAATGTATGCTTTTTTACTACTTTCTCTACTGTTTCATCGCGAGAAGATTTGTTTTAGGCCCTATAGAATAGGCTTTGAGAAACGTAAGCATGTAATCCTGTGTGGCTCAAAACATCACATGGTGAGGTGTGTACTGCATTGTCAGTGACCCACTAGATTGACCCAGTTACTTCTCTGCACTGAGAGCAACAGGAGAGAAGGAAGAAGGAGGGCACTGAGAAGGCACAAGGAAAGGGAGGGCACAGCAGGCAGGTAGGATAATGATAGGCAAATAGCTCCTTCCTTCTCTACTTTTAAAACTGTTGCTGTTTTGGACGCCCTGAAGCCAGTGTGTGGAGAGAGATTCATATTTTCAGAATGTTCCAAGGAATCATCTCACCTACCATGAATTAATCTACTACAATTTAATCCAACTGCTGTGTAATCCAACTGCACTTAACAGAGTTTTCCAAGGGATAGCACTGGCCCATCAGCATAATTGGTGTGGGTTAAGTGGCATGAGAAACCAGGTTAACCGGAGATTTCCTACCTAACAGCGACTGGTTTACAAAGAGTTAAAAAAATAAAGCAGATTAGTCTTACCCTCCTCCCTAAAAGTAAATTTTCACTGATTGTCTCAATGAAACCATTTTCTTACTCACAGAGCAGCATAAGCAGATCAAAGAAAGCTGAGAAAAAGGAGAACAGTGCAAGTATGAAAGAGTAAGACAAAAACTCAAGAAACTTCCAGTTTCACATTTAAAATAAATAAATTAATAAATAGTGTTCATTTTCAACGAGATACTTTTGCAGTTGCGAAATCTTTTCCGAGATTTAGCAAATCCAAACCCCAAATGTCTATGCTTACATATTAGCACTATCAGTGACATGAGTTTTTAGTCACAGATTTCAACATGAGCAAATATGGAATGTAACTTATTTTAAAAAAATTAATCGGAGAGAAAGTGAATTAGCCTCAAAACTCTCATATTAATGTAAAGTACATTAATATGACAAGGTCATAATAAAAGATTGTTTCTGAAGTGAGACATTGTGAAATGGTAACTTAATAGATACTTAGTTTCAATAGCACACTTTCATAACTTTGGAAACTAAGATCATTCTTATTCTTTCTTTTGCCAAAACACTTCAATTAGATGCCAGGAAGCCGTTAAATACCTAAATTACACTGCTGTCTGAATATGGGGATTACTACCTGGATCCATCCAAGGACTTTGCCAGAAATGCATCCTGATCCTGATAAAACTCAGGACTAGATAAGATTGGAAAATAAAACCAAGGCCTACATTCCCAAATGCTTCAGTGAGATAATGGTAACAAAATTCAGATCAGCTTTTTATAAGACATACTAAGTTCTTGAATTTTCACAAATGCATTTAGATACCAATGCATTTTGGCTGTCATGCTTTACTGTGCTCCCTCAGCAGTCTTGGTAATAACTCATACCTATTCCAACTCAGCAGTGATCCAAATGAGTGCAAATGTCTCTTTCAAAAGCAAGAATTATTTTTTTTTAAAAAAAAAAAAAAAGAAAGAGAATTTCTACAGTACTCTGCCCAGGAACACAACCGGCATCCTGACACATCTCTATCCCATGCACGTTCAGTTTTATGTAAGGCTTACTCCTGGATTAAGGTGCAAGAGTCAAGATTGGTTATGTCTTCATTGCATTCCGGTCTATTGAGAGTAGACTCCATTATTTAGGGCTTTAAGGACCTATTAGTAATTCACTGGCTGCGTAGTATACAGCACTTGAATAGAAAAATCAAATTGGCCACAGTCTTTACACTGAGAGTTAATAGTAACCGTGACATATCTAGGCACAAAAAGAGGGAAAGTTTATATATGTTACATCAGCTAAGTGCACAGTTATATAAAGCCATGTTTATTCTGTATATGAGTCTGCTCATTCAGAAATGAGAGAATGCTCCCTTTTGAACGGTAACAAATGAAAAGCTGATTCTTGGAAAGAAAAACTGGAAGGCACCAAAACTGTTTGTGGATTCAAATGCATTGCAGGGTCAAACAGATTGGAATTTCCTTAATCTCTTTGGTTAAAGATTAACTAAAGGCCAATTGTGTACCTATTTGGAAGCCGTGTATTTATTTGGAATATTAACTGAGTCTTAAGACAGGAAGAATGAAGGGTTCCTTCACCAAAAGATGATAAAGCTTAGCTGCTCAATATTCTTATTGCTTAACCAAACTAGAATTATATAGCCTTGACTGATTGCAAGGCACAGAATTGCAGGCATGAATAACATTGTAAAAATGGAGCTCTAAAGCAAGACAGCAGATAGAATAATCATGTTAGTATGTAAATATCACAGACTGAGGCGATTATGTTGCAGTGTTTCCGAAACATTATATTTCATGAGTTTGATTCAATTAAAATTATTTCAAAGCTTTCTAAGTGCAAAAAAGGACACTAAAGGCCAGTAGAGTTATGAAAATTGGTTTCACAGATGGCTGGCTTGCTCTCTAAGAAAATCAGACTGTCTTCAGAAAACTTCTGAAGTGGCCTCATAGTACATTAAATTTTGCAGAGCTGATACAAGGTGAAGAGGACAACCATACAATTAGTGCCAAAGAAGCTGGCTAGGGAAAAGGATCTTTCATTTGAAGCTCTTTCTCAGATTCTCAACAAATTTGTATTTTTGCAGAAAAGCAATCACTTTTTGAAACTATGTCTTCTAGAGATAGCCTCCTCCGTAGCTAACTGTCCAATTCATCACATTTTAAATACCACACGTCAGATTCCAGTCACATAGTTTCACATGTCATAAAGTAAGGAGTAGAGCACTTTATAATTGAATAATTATAAATTTGGTGAAAATCTTGTGTGAAAGTAAAAAACTTTAGAAAACCCACAGATTTCATGAATAAAGTCAGCCAAAAATATACCAAGATTTCATCTATAAGATGGGTGGCAAAATGTGCTTCACCTAGAATTTGGGTTGCTTATTTTATGAGTGTGTGCAGAGGGAAAGCAACATTAAGTTGTTTCGTAAAAACAAAGTTTATAGTCTGTTTGGAGAGTAACCAAAAACTGCTGAAATTTTCTTAGGGGTAAACTTCCATCATGATGGGGTTTCTGTCCTTCTCCTTTCCTCAGTATGTTAAATTTCTGTTTGCTTACCTTTCTCTTCTTAAGGATCCACACTTGAATAACAGGCTTACTAGAGTTGTTGGCATTATGCTTTGGAATTTTCCAGGACAAGTGTCACTAACTACATGCATTAAATAATTACAAAGATTAAACCATCAATATTGAAACACTCTGGTGGCATAAATGTTTATAAATGTGTTTAAATACATATATTCATATATGTATGTAATTATGTATGCGTGTAAATATATATGCATGCATATATAGGTGTATGTACAATTGTTAATATTTTATATAGATAGTAATAAAGATGTTTCATACCTGCCAGGATGACAGGAGGGGGCTGTGCCACTCAATTGCCCAAGTCTCTCTAACTGTTGAATCAGGTGCAAGTCAGGTTGCAATTTATAGTGTTTAATATGTTTCCTGTAAACGTGCAGGAAATGTTTGTTTGAAGTTCTGAAGGAAACAGTATTGATGTTCGCAGAGATGCGACAAACTACTTGATGAAAGAAATCATTTTCAAGAAAGAGTCCTATGGGAGAAAGAGAGCCTGTTTATTTACACAAAGATCAAAGTAACTTTCATATGAATTGAAGCTAAATATTTAGTACTTGAGCTACTAGCAAAGAACACTCTAAACTTCTGAAGGAAAGAATAAAAAGCAGGAGACAAATCCTGATATATAAATATATATAAGTTCTCTATTAGGAAGAAAAAAACAACACTCTTTTTGTTATTTGAGTTGCAGTAGTGTCTGGGGTCCAACTTGAGATCAGAGGCCCACTCTGTCACATTATGTACAAACACTTAGTAAAACAAAATCTCTTTTCTGACAATCATATCAACTAAATATACAAAGGTCAAAAAGAACTAATGTGAATTCCATTGTATGAATTGCACTTACAACTTCCAGAAAGGTACATTAAATGAAATTGTCATGAATTAAACCAAGTGTAATTTCACTGGAATTTACTTACTGTGTGTGTCAGGCAAATCAAATATGAACTAAAGAACCTATATATTAATTTCTTATGATTAAAATGATTAAACTTCCCTTAATTTTCCTGATTGTATTCCCATTTTTTCTTCCATCTAAACCAAATTTAACTACAACAGTCAAAATGAGTGCCGAGTTTCCTTATAAAATAACATAGTATCACAACAGAGGTAGTTCAGTCAGAGACTAATCAAGCACGAAAGAAGTGATGGGAAAAGTGAGGGATTTCTCCTTGCTGTTCATAATCAAGAGTAGATATCCATCCAGCAATGGAAACAATCTCCATGTGGGTTCCCAGCAACTTCAACATGACACAAAATATCTGCCTCCAGCTGGCAAGACTCTCAGTCTTTCTCCATAAGGATGATTTCTGAAGTCTGGGGAGAAACCATGCCAAAACTGATGGATATATCCAACTGCCAGTTTTTCTGCAGCTAGGGAGGGAGAGAGCTGGGAAATAGGCCAAAGGTATGTATTTCCTATAGTTCATCACCTTCTTCCCAGTCCCTGGCTGCAGATCCCTAGGCCTCTGGAAATCAGTTACATTAGTGACTTTGGACTGTGGTTAATCTGGAGCAAGGCTAAATTCACACTTTCTCAGTTCTTAGAAACATTGTCTTCCTATGTGTAATATAATTTATGCTCCTGAATACTCCTCATTTTTGTAATACTTTTCCCAATAGCTCAAGTGTACCCTTACCATCTGTCACATGTGGTCTGTTCTCTCTCTTGCACTTTATTGCTACCTATATAAAATAGCATATAAAGAGTATAAATAACAAGGTAGTTGGTTGCATGGAATAAATAAGGTGAAAAATTGAAGACACTTAGTAATAGACATGAAAAAAAAAACCTATATTCTTTCTGTACCTTCACAAGTTTAAAGCAATCTACAGCCACTGGAATGGTATTCATTACATTTTTTTTAAAAGATGAATGATTTTCTTAAAAACGTATTTAGTGAAGGTTTTTCTCTCTGTGTGAGAGCTTATTAGAAAAATAATTTAATAAGAACTGGACTATTAAAACAAAACTTACTTTAAATACTCAACATCAGGATACTAGTAAGAAAAACTGAAGAGACTGTGTATTAGTCTTACACATAATTTCAGGTATAGAGAAACAGCGAGCACAGAATTGACTCCCTTTCCTTCTTTGCAGTGCCTAATGGGATCGTGTGCTCCTCAGTTCTAGAAGCTATAGAATTGTAAAGTCCTTGCATTAATCCTATGGATGACCTAAGATGAGCTCATCTGTGTGTCAAGGCAGAGTTGGCCTCTGTGGCCAACTGTGGGGTGCTTGCTCACTTAACTCTGAAAAATCCAAAGCATTCAAGTTTCCACATTTTCCCGTAGTAGCTCAGTCTCATTTTATTGTCAGAAGGGCTTTCTTGAAATCAGTTGATTTTTTTTACCTTTACCATTTCATCTCACTTTGTCATGTAACATTTCACTTCCCGGCAGTTAGCTTAAAAGCCACAGATAATTGAGATGATAGGCACTTTTTCACAGGAAAAAAAAAAAAAAAAAAAAAATTGTGTGGTTTTGTTTGTTTGTTTTTAATAAGACTTCATTGCTGTCAAAATGCTTCATACTATTATGTATATTTCAATGCAATTTGAATGGTAGGATTTCTGAAGTCACAGGTGAAATACGTGGCAAGTCTAAAAAGGCATCTGTAGGCTGATAGAAATTAGAAAACTAATCAGTACATAAATGAAAATTCCCTTTTGAAGAATTTTTGTCATTGTTTTGAATTCAAATTATAACAAAAACAAAAAAACAAAAAACTGCTAGTACAATCAAATAAGCCAACTGTTACATGAGGATTTTATTTTCTTCTTCATCAGTAATCATAGAACCACAGAATATCCCGAGTTGAAAGGAGCACTTAAGGGTTACTGAGCCCAAATTCTGGCTCCACTCAAAAATCAGACCATACGTCCGAGAGTGTTGTCCAAACATTCATTGAACTTCAGCAACTTGGGTCTGTGACCACTTCCCTTGGAAGCCTGTTCCATGCCCCTCTCACTCTGGCAAAGGATTTTTTCTTTATCTCCAATCTGACCCTCCTCTGACACAGCTCCATGCTGTTTCCTCTGGTCCTCTCTCTGTCACCAAAGAGCTCAGCACTGTCCCTCTGCTCCCTGCAAGGAGCTGTAGGCCACTATGAGTCCTTCCCTCACCTTCTCTGTTCCAGGCTGAACAAACACAGCGATCTCAGCTGCTCCTCATACATTTTGCCCTCCAGACCCTTCGCCATCTTTGTAGCCCTCCTTTGGACACCCTCAGATAGTTTTTTGTCCTTTTTGCAATGTGGCACCCAAAATTGCATACATTGGTTGAGGTGAGGCTTCACCACTGCAGTGTAGAGTGGGACAATTCCTTCCCTCGACCATCTGGCAATACTATGTTTCATGCATCCCAGGATATGGTTGGCCTTCCTGGCTGCCTGGTAACACTACTGACTCATGTTCAACCTGCTCTCCCTCTGGGACCCTCAAATCTCCTTCAGCTGGGCTGCTCTCCAGCATCTCATCCCCCAGTCTTTTTGTACTGCCATCACTGCACCTTCCCAGATTGTTCTTGTTAAACATCACGTGTTGATGATTGCATAGATCTCTATTTTCTCTATGTTTGTCTAATACTTGTACAGGATAAGTACTAATAGTGTTTCTTTCCTGGATTTGGTCCTCCTCGGTATGTTCATTAATGACCCAAATGAACAAGAGAGCAGCATTATTACAAAAAACAGATTCCATTTACTGGAAGGGACTGAACAAATGTCAGAAGTGAAGGATGGAATTCAAGATGACATTAACAAACTACAGATGGAACACAGATAGAACGTATGAAAACATTCAGCAGGAAATGCAAGATGCTATACTTATGCTGGATTATTTAACTACATAAATACAGTATGACGAATAAATGGCTACAAAGAGTTCTATTTAAAAAAAAAAAAAAAAAAAAAAAGATGAGTCAACAGTATCATATTGATGTAAAAAAAGGAAAAAGCATAGCATACGTATAGCAGGATGTATAAGAAAAAGTATGACTGAAAGGAAATGTGAAGTAATCCTTGTGCTCTGTTCAATGCTTTATTCAATACTACAACTATAAATGGAAGAGTGTGTCTAATCCTAGGCACTACACTTCACTAAACTCATAGATCAACATAGACAGTCTAGAAAAAAAGTACAGAAAGAAAAGATCAGAGGTTTTTAAAAAAATGGGCTATGAGGAAAGACTGAAGGAAATGATAATTTGTATAATTTGTATAATTCAGAGAAAAAACACCAAGGGATGGCATTTGCTTTAAATAACAGTTAAACAAACAAAAGGGATGAAATAATTTCTTCAAATATTTTTTTCCTCCTCAATCTCATGATTTCAACCACTGAAGAAAATTGCACTGTGGGACAGAGAAATGAACCAAAAATACATTATATCTTATAAAAATAAAACTATCTCTACTTTTACAGAACATTTATTTTAGGAACTTATGGGCAGTTGAGACAGAATGACAGAGTTTATGTAGGTTAAGAACATTTTAAAGTTTACCTGTCCTATGTACAGTACATCTGCAACTTCCTTTCACTCTAGATATATTTTCAGAAAACAAAAATCTCCAAATTATTGAAAGTTTATTGAACTTTGAAATTACATTCAGCATTTCCATCAGTTTTCCACCATGAAAATCTCCATAAAGAATAAGTGTAACTAATGTTCTATTTATTTGAAAATAGTCTGAATTTCACCATCGTTGTGAGAATGTCTTGAGAAAAATGATTTTCACAATCATTTTACAATTAAAAAAATAAAGATGAAACAATGTTACATGAAATTAATACCTCATATATAAATATCATAACTTCAGTAAAAGGGATGTATTAGAGCACATGAAAAATTTAATGTTTTATGTCTGTAAAATCCCCATTTTAATTGTTTTGCAAAGCACAAAATCAGCAAGAATAGATCTTAAAAAAAAAAAAAATCTTGAGTGATTTTGCACTATATGCCACATATATATATCTATATTATCTTCTGAAATATACTCCGGATTACAATGTTAGTTTTCATGGACCTCAAGATAAGAAAGTTAATTGGTAACAAAACATCAAAATTCTGAACTGAAGAAGTACAAAACATCACTCTAAATGGGGCACTTAGTAAATACGACATAGTCAAAGTTAATTTCTGCTTCTCTTTGAGACACTGTGAGACCCAGAGGAAAAGAGACTCTTATTCCTTCAACTAAGAAGAACTAGCTGTCTGATGATACTAACTGGGCGAAAAGGAAAACTTGAAAACAGCAAGTAGTGAAGCAGAACTTGAGCACTGCTTCAGAGACAATGTAAAAAAATTGCAGTGTTCAACAATCTGCAAAGATTCTTCCTTCGAAAGCCGTCTTTCTTCCGAACCACCAGCATTCTAAGGGAAGTTAGTGAGTCCAAGTTATGTAGGTTCCCTACAGAGCCTGTAATTTGCTAAAGTGGAGAATGGTTCCCAACATCTTCAGATGGAGGACAATGCAGACATCACAGAACAGGTGAAAAGGAAAGAATAAAATCTAGAAGAATTCTCAAAGTTGTGTTCTGTTGTGGAAACAGCTGAGAAGCTATACTGAACTCCATGTGTTACACCCCACAAAAGCAGCAAAAGCCTTCCTGTCCTCCACTTGATTCCCAAAGCACATACACTTAGGATCTGTGTTCCCCTTCTTACATGGTGGTCAGACAAGAAAAGAGTAACTTAGGCTTGTCTGCCCATAACACACACAGCTGAAATCAGCTTGAAAATGTGTGAGATTGTCTAAATAGAAATAATTTCCCCAGCTCAGAAAAAATATTAATAGGCACCAGCAACCTTGTGACTTGATATATAGAACAGGAGACCAGATAGTAATAAGAAGAAAAGAGTTTCCATTAAAAAAAAAAAAAAAAAATCTTATCAGCCACCCACCATGTGCTATAATTTAAAAGCTTTTGAGCAAAGAGCATTTCTTTACTGCTAACAGGTTTAAAATGTTGCAGTATGTAGAAGAAAAAGTCTTGATTAGCTGTGGCAGATGAGTCAGCAGAGAAACAGTTCACGATGCAGTCCAGACTTTACATTTTGACACATATTGTTAAGGGCTGCCCAAAGTCATTCCAAAAGGCAAAAGAAAAAAGAAGGGAAAAAAAAAAAAAAAATAGGGAAAAAGAAGTATGCATGTTTTTTTTATAGAGAGAGAGAGAGTAAGGAAAGAGGAAAAAGGATGTCTAGCACCTTAATTTAACCTTGATTAAACAATAATATTGAATAATATTCATCTTCACAGATTTTGTGACAGTTTTAGGTTTTGTGTAAAAAAATCTAGTTATGGCTAGGGAACAAGATTCTTCAGGATATGTGTATGTTATATATTAATGATACACTTTAGGTAGAAAGTCATACACACAGAGAGGATGTGCTTTATTATTATGAATTAAAGCACAAGTCTTTTTCTGTCTTCTTGAGAGAAAGAAAACACTGTGTAAATATAGCAGTGGGTATTCAGTAGTTCTGAGTAGCAACATCCCATATATCTAACTACAGGTCAGATATCTTATAAACCTATGTGTTATCCACAACAACAACAAAATTGATTCAGGAGATGGACAAAACTCATCCGAGAAATGTTCTGGTTTTGCAATAGTGATGAACAGTTTGCTTTTTCTCTTAGATCATGACAGATTTGAGCTTCCAAAGCATCAGTCTGGGAGGGCAGGAAGGAAGATGTAAAATAGATTCTGAGGATTCTAGATCCTATGACATTTCTAGCAAAAAATAAAATAATGTCTTTTGTATTCCAGGCAAATTATAGCCTGCTACATTATAATCTTGGTTTCTATAAGGCGAAATTCAATGACTGTTCGAAACAATTGTACAAGATTGTTATCTGTTTTAGACATGAGAAAATTTCCCTTAATCTCTCAAAAAAAGAACGTTATTTATAACGTGAGATCCCATTCTCTTTTATTATTTTAACATTTCTGTCTGGTGGGAAAATTTTTACAGTGTCCACTAGTAGATGCTGTTTTACTTCCCAGTGCAACAACGAGGCTACTGAAGAAAACAATGGAAAGACTTCAAGGAAGGGTAGCAAAACAAAAAAAGCAGTTTGCTGTAGGAAAAAAAAAAAAAAAAAAAAAAAAAAAAAAAAAAAAAAAAAAGTTAAATGACAAGTCAGTCCATGTACCTATAAAGTCAAGACCTGTGGTAATATTTTCACTTTCATTCTAGCTATTGAGGGATACACAATGAAATTCACAGCAAAAGATGGAAAAAGTGTGCAAAGTGTGACAATAGATCTGCACTACACTTGATCTTAGCCAAAAGGCTGAGAAGCAATGGTGTAGGGAACCTGCTTTGGCAGGGGGGTTGGACTCAATGGTCTCTGGAGGTCCCTTCCAACCTCTACAATTCTGTGATTCTGTGTGATTCTGTGAACAGAGACTCTACCCTCCATAGATGATAATCCCATCTAGTTCTGTAGCTTGGGCCGCACATGCCTAAATTCTGAAAGTCTATCCATTTTTCCTTTTTAGCCTGATTCTACAGTGAATAAATAAGTTACAAATAATTAACAGTCAAGCCTACTTATCTTTCAAAAATGGCAGAAGTCTTCTCTCTAATTTTCTGGATTAGTACATAGTGTTTTGATTTCAAAATTTTGTTGGAATTTTTTTTTTTTTTCCCCAGTACTCATTGGAATGTAATCAAATGCTATGAAGACAGCAGGATGAAGAAATATTTTCCAGAATCTGGGTTCTCACCACTGTGAGTCAAATCATGATATTTTTCTAATAAAATCATAGGAAACCTATATTTTAGTAGCTACTAAAATGGCTCAAAGATGACCTAGCTTTGAGCAATATAAATAGAAAGACTGATGGTTTTAACAGTATACTGTTAGATTTCTGTCAGCCATTTCACATCATGAAAACTTTCTAACCATACTGTCAAATTTTGTACATATTTTAACACACTATTATTTTCACTAGGCATAAATGACACTTATAATTGGACTACATCTAAACATAGGATCTTGAGGTACAGGTAAATAAAAGTGCAGATAGTGCTAGAAAAAATATGGCAGTAGATCTTAAACCAGACACTATTCTTGTGCATTTTATTTTGCAGTCATGTGCTGTAAATGTAGACCATCACACTGCACAGATGGAAGTGCAAGTTTGAGGGCTATTGAGCCTGTGGATTTTCCCAGTGTGTCACAATTACAGAAACATCTGTGCTAAATAACTTCAAGCTGATCCACAGCAAAAAATGGCAATGTTCAATAACTCTTAATATCCATTTTTCCCCTGTGGTGAGACGGCCTAGTGATTGCAAGTTGGACTATAGTATAAAACATGTACCTTCATTATTTCAGTCTCTATTTAGAGATTTCTCCAGTGGTATATTACCTACAAAATCCATATGTTTTTCCTTACTTAGCTGTATAGAGCCTCAGTTCCAGAGATACCACATGCCTGCAGCTATCATTGACTTCAATTAGAGGTGTGGATCTGTATGTTCTCTGAAAACTAAGTCCTGTGGGGATACTTCTAATTGATTTTGATTTGCACAGGGAAAGGAAAAAGTCTGGGTGACATGATCATAAGAGATCAGAAGGGAAACAGAGGCATTTTGCCTGCAGGAAAAAAGACTAAAAAACATTGTCACAGCTAATATATAGTTTGTACCATACCAGCTTAGAAAACATGCACCTTTTTCTTTCTTCTAGCAGACAAAAGAAAGCTAGAATTCCCCTAAAAAAATACAAAGGAATGAAAAGCATTCCCGAATGCCTGCAATAATATAATCCCAGATCCTTTTATTTAGACCACGTTGCAGTTCATGAAAATTCAGTATTTTTACCTATGACAGGAATGGGACAGCATTTCTCACCCTCCACTCTCCTGCAGCACTGGAATCTGAAGATTTTTGCTGGTAAAAGTACATTACTCAAATATAGCACCTTCCCAATTCTTCATGCACTGCTACAGATTCATTTTTCAATTTTTGTTTCCTGTGTTTGTTTCAGCTAGATAGGCACTTTAATACACTCACCAGATTTTATTCATGCATCCCAGAATTCAAAATATAAAGATTGATACATTTCTTAGCTACAACACAGTGCACATTTTATATCTAATGTACATTTTTCCATGTGTTGTCCAATGTCACCTGGGACATTCCAAGTGAAGAATACTCTTTCTAATACACTGTGATCATTCTGTAGCATTACCTGTAGCATTCTGTAGAATCAGTAGGATTCTTTCCCTTGCATTTGATTTAAATTCTATTTTCCTCAGCTCCATCTCAATTTCTTCCAATACTTGACTAAGTATTTTCTTAACTGCTTTGATGTTCAGACTCCTGAAGTATTAACAAACTAGTGAGACATATCTTATCTGACATTCAGCCAAACTAAACACTGTTAGTACTTACACCTTTAAACCCAGTTCTTGATAATTACTACTACCAGTTTTTAAATTTTAATTTCAATTAATCTCTTTCTACATACTGAGCTGCAGTTACTATAATATTCCAACTATCATCTCATCTGTGATACAGATGACATGACTACTCAGAGGAAACAACCAGAAATTATGCTGGCTTTTACTGCACCTTTATCTCTTTGCCAGTTCTTGCATGATTTCCTTACTGTTCAATATATATGTGTCCTAGAACTGATGCATTGCTAGTTGGTATCTGAACACAAGCCCTCCTTTCATTCTTGATTCAAAACCTTTTCTTCTACTAAGAAGGTATAGTGCACAAAAAAAATAAATAATTTTAAAAGGATATACGTGAAGGAGAGATTCTAAGGTTGAGGGAATTTCTCAGTGTTTTTTTCTCCTAACCATCCCTCTGACCCTAGTACACACCCACATGAAATCCTCCAGCAGCCCCTCTCTCAAAGTTTCTGCCAATTCTAACAAACACCAAGTTGTCAAGTGATGCTGCTATTTTGTCCCCATAGCAACAAGCTTTTTGGCCTGAGCGACAGAATTTCCATATTGTCAACTGGAGTATGTCCCACACAACTCCAAGGAGCACCTGGAGTTTTTTTGCAATGCAAATATCTGTTTCTTTCCCCCCTCCCAATTCTTCATATATTAAAGGGATGTTATTTATACTCATTGCAATGGATGGTATGATGACAGGCTGAGCATTTGAAATTTATTTTAAAATTCTATAAACCTGTCCTTTCAGGATTCTATGTTCCTTTTGAAACAGCTGTGAATTTCAATGCCATCTTTAAAATGAATTTGAAAAAATACACAAAGGTAAAATATTAAGGTCTTGATAACTGAACAGAGAAAATATATGATGTATTATGTGGCACATTTTTTATGCTTTTAAAGTTGAGGAAAAATATCAGAGAACTGTTGAAAATGTGTTCCTTCAATAGTAACACATTTCTAACCTATGTACATCTAACAGGTTATTCTACTGCATACTCTGACTAATCTCCTTGGTTAAAAATTGTTAGGTCATACAGACTGTGTGTATACTGGTAGTAGGCTTGAGCAAGAGAGAAAAGCAAAATCATTTCCATCAATTTCATTGAATTAGTTGAAGTTTGCAACACTGAAAATTTGGTATTCATGTCTCCCATTTCCAGTGTTAACAGCACTTTTAATTATATTTAATCTCACTGAATCTTGAAGATGTTATCTTTCAGTTTGCTTATCGTGGCCACTTAAAATCATAACCAAAACAATAACTGGGTACTCTCAAAGCTTATGGAAACTGCCTTTAGCAACATCATTACCACATTTAGATAACAACACCATGCTAACATGGGGATAAAAGAGATCAGAAGTTAGTTTATTGTCTTTTGGACAAGATGTAAAGCTACATAGTGATATTTTAGCGGCAGTCAGCCTCAGTAGCTCTGACAAATGCATTTTGTGTAACTAGTTCTATTTCCTAGATTACCAAAGCAGTTTCAGTAGGATGTTTTGGTTTTTATTTTCATCTGAACAATAATTTTAGTGTATTTTTTCATATATATGTCTTGCACATTCCATGACAAACTTTCAGTAATGAGTGGTAGCTCACTGTATTCATTATGTATTTTCAGTTTTGTGGGATAGTTCTTTAACGGAACTCTCTTATTCTGAAAATTAGGATCCTATATATGGAGTTAAGGTATAGGTACATAATTTGGACAGAAATAATATTTAATAAGTTTAATGTAAGCAATGAATTATTTATTATATCATTGGCATGTTTTTCATCTGAGACTAATGGATGAAAAAATGAATGAAGTATCTTTCAAGGAAAGAGATAATCTTGCTTGCAAATACTGACTAAATAATAAAAAATAATTTTACAGGGCAGTTTTGTAGAATCTAAACAGTAGGCTAAACACTATCTGCATATTGTTTCCCAGCTGTTCCAGCTAATTATGGCTGTATAACAGAGAGGTGTTTTAATGTAAAGTGTTATCTGATGGCTGCAAAAGCACTGAACTGGATGAATTACTGCATCCCACAGATGAGAAACTTCCTTGAGCATTGTTTCTGTCTGAGTAAGTACAAAATACAATCAGGATCAACACACCTGAGGTGGTTAGGTTATAAACACAGGTTCAGAGAAAAACTTGTCTACACTACAGTGGAACATGCAGGAGCTGTGTGTATGTACCAACCTGGCAGATTCAACAAGGTTTAGATATAGAGCACAGGAGTAGAGAGCTGGGAGACATAACCTGAGGACATCGTACATCCTCCTCTGTCCTCTCAGGCAAACAAGTCCTCATTCACACAGGTCCTCAGCAATACATTCTGCATCACCGAAGACTCACAACACCCCGCCACAATACATAGCGTACACAAGGCCAAAACCTGCAAGACCTATGTGTACAACAAGCAGAATGAGGAAGAAATGAACATCAAATGTTCTTCAGCATTAAACAAACATTCTGAAGCACTGACTGTGAGGAATTCACATCTGTGCTTTGTTATTACTGCTCCAAAACTGTCCTTTTCCCTACTCATCTTTGGTTTAGAACTCCAGCACCTCCAAATTCATGAAAGTAATTGTGTCAAACAGCACATGGGCTATTGCAATAAATAATGCTTTGGTTTCTTACCTGACTCCTCTAATATTCTATTTTTCTAAGGCTGGGTTCAGATCAGCTCTTCCCATGCCTTCTTCCCCAGTGCCTGCTGAGCATTTACTGTATTTAAGCAATGCAAGCATTACTCTGCTTGAGTGTAGCATAGCAAATGAGTGCACAAGAATCCCACTGAGGCAGCTCATAGCTTGTAGCCTGCGGGTACTAATTGTTCATCAGGAAGACCTTAAAGCCTATTTAATGCCAAAGACTAAAGATCTTTTTACCTCTTTGCCATTTTGTAATTCGCTACTGAATCAAAACAAGAGAATGAAGGGTTTTTCCTCATATAACAAATTAAAAAATGAACAAACAGTTATCATGTTTTTCTTTATAGTACAGAATGATTCATGTGTCATCTTTCATGAAAGCCAATAAATCTATGATTTAAAGCCTTGATAGCTATAAGCCTTGAGTATAAAGTAATCTACTACACAAGAATTTATAAGATAAATCCCTTTAGGGTTCATAGCTATTCAGCCCAAGCATACTATATCTATCTATTTAATCTAGCTAATTTATCTATCTCTATATTTATAAAATAGCCAGTTTCTAGAAGCCAGATGCCAGCAGTGTACATTTAATTTGTTGACAAATTGATTTGGTTGCTACATCACAGATAGACACAATTCTGTCTGTAAATAAATGT